ACAGTTTACACTTTGTGTAGGGTCATGAACTGTTTTCTCTGGCACTTGTATCTGTATATGTAGCAAGGATTGCATTTACAAATGGTGCACCCTTTGCTGCAATGTTGATTGAAACTCAGTCTCTGCTTGTGTCTGCATCAGGACAGTGACGATGAGGGAAATGATGACAATGACGATGAAGAAAAGACCTCCATAAAAAAGGAGTTTTCTGGCCGGAGCCCTTCGCCTCCAGCAGAGGACAGTGAACCTGAAATGACTGAGGAGGAAAGGGAATTTCAGCTGGTCAGTTTGACCATTTAGATCACGTTTTGTTTGTTTGTTTTTTTTTGCATGTACAAAGTTGTAGCTGATCTGTGTTTGAATGAGATTTATTGACACTAATGGATTCTGTTTTTTTCCTCTTGTTTTAAGATGATCATCACAAAAACACTTCTGACAGAGATCCTTCTTGAGGTCACAAATGAAGAAATCCTGCACGTGGCCAAAGAGACTCACCGGAAAGCCACTCGAGGTCTGCTTTTGCCTTTTCCAGTTTATGCATCATCTATACTTGTCACAGAGACATTATGTTTAAATCTAAAGAGAATCCATTATGTGCTTAATAATCTCTTTATACGAGACTCAATTATGCCCTGTAAACTAGGCTGATTGAGCAGCAAACATGGGAGTATGTCTGATATGCATTTTCAACCATTCTCTGCTAATGCATCAGAAGGAGAGAGAGCAGAGCAATGTTTCTCACAAACACTATTTGAAAACCTGTTCATCATGGTATTGAAGGTCCTGCTGAAAGACTATGGCTGAATAAAGTCTCAGCATTGACTCTGACCAGCACCCACTTATAGATACAAGAGACTTCCTCCATTGCAGTGACTGTGCATTAGTACAGATTGGTTCTTTCCTTCCAGTCCGACTGTTTGACTTGGATTGTGTGACAGAAGTTTGTTTGTTAACCCTCTCTCTTTTCTCCATCTTTTTTTCATTTTTGTTTTGTTTTTATTTTTGTTTGTTTTTTCTCTTGTTACCAACGGCAGCTCTTGTGAATAGTGCTTTATCTGTGACCCCCTTCTCTAGCGACTCTCTTGCCTTTGAGAAAATGGCAGTATGTGTTTTAACATGTTGTTCCTGTTGTTGATGTGAATCAAAGCTCCTGCAAAACAGCTGGCACAGTCAAGTGCACTGGCTTCTCTGACTGGTCTCAGTGAGTATCCCTTTTTCTGTCACTGGGGGGAGGGAAGGAAAATATTTTGAGTTTTTAATTCATGGCCCGGTGTTAGTAGGAACATGAGAAAAGCTGCAAGATATAACACCCAAATACGCTTCCTAATTTTGAAGGTTGATTAAGGCAGATTTGGCATCCTACTGATTTATTTGGGTTTAGTTTTGCACTTTGATGTTAGAAGCATGCGCTCGAATACAAAGTATATATATTATTATTTATATTAATATTATTCCGTAGGGACTCTATGTATGTATTAGTTTGTATTATTAGTGTGATATGAAGTTATCCAGGATAAAAGTACCTTTCATTGGGACTGATGGGACCTTGGGTTGGGATTGAGGGGTTTCAGAAGTTGAAACCTGATTTTGAGAATGGATCTTGATCCTTTCCAACACTCAACAACCTGGGGGCTCTGTTATGGCAGGCGGGCTTGGTGACTATGGTTCAGATGAGAGTGAGGATGAGGATGATCGCAGCGTGCGAGGGTCCGAATCCTCCGACACGGATGAGGAGGAATTACGCCACCGCATCCGAGAGAAGCAGGATGCCTTCCGCCGCAAAGAACGGGAAATGCAGCAGCTGCAAGAGAAACAAGCGCAAGAGGCTCTGCTCGCCCGTGGTAAGACATGTCTGTGTCTTTGCATGTTTAGACTTGGAACACGCCACATGGCTTGACTCTAATACCTCAAAATGTTGAATCGGGGGAAAAAGCAGATGTGCTAATACTTTTAACGAAAATAAAAATGTTCTCAAACTTTTTTTCTAACTTGTACTTTTTACGTAGGTAATTTGCTTTGTTTCCAATGAGGTTGGTATAATAATCCAACAACCAAGGAACATGTTGACACTGGTCTGAAATTAAGTTTAAAAAAAAAAAAAAAAAGTGTGACTAGGAGTTAAAAGATCCAAACTAGTTTAACCTTCTTTGTTGTTTTTTTCCACAGAAGAGATGGTGAAGGAGAGGTTGATCAGAGAAAAGGGGGAATATGATGAGGGCCAGGTAGAGAATCCACACAAACAGGAAGTAAAAGAGAGGGAGGCGGAGCCCTTGGTAGAGAGGCGTAGGTCCCGTAGTGAAAAGGAGGGTAGTGAAGGCAAGCACTCTGGCAGAGGGAAGGAGCGATCAGGGCGAGGTGGCAGCGATTCCCCAGCCAATGGTCACAGCAGCAGCTCCCTCTCCACCTCCAGCCACAGCAGCAGTCGCTCTTCCTCCTCCTCTTCTTCATCAGCATCTTCCCGCAGCTCCTCTCGATCATCCTCCCCACGCAGGAAGAGGAGGCGTAGTCGCTCTTCGTCTCACAAGGCTCGCCGGCGCAGCCGCAGCCACAGTTCTCATAGACATCGTAGTGAGAAGGTCAGGGACAGGAGGAGGAGCAGTGCTGAAAGATCAGGTCGCCACAAGAAGGACCGCAGTGACTCTAGGGAACGCAGGAGTCGCAGGAGTAGGTCCAGATCCAGAGAGAGAGACAGAGACAGAGGCAGAGCCAGGGCCAGAGACAGCCGCAGTCGCAGCAGAGACAGAGAGAAGGAGAAAGAAAGGGATAAGGAGAGGAAGAGGAGCCGAGAGCGCAGGGACAGCAGTCATAGTCGTAGCAGCAAACACAAGCAGAAGGCCTCCAGCAAAGACAGAGAGAGGAGGAGAGACAGGAGTCGTAGCCATGAGAAAGATAAGAAAAAGAAAGATAAAGACAAGGATAAGGATAGGGAGAAAGACTCAGATAAAAAGAAAGAAAAACCAAAAGCCAAAGAGAAGGAAAAAGGAAGCTCTGTAGTTGCAGAGGAGAATGGAAAATCGAAGAAAAGGAAGGAGAGTGACTCATGCACGGACTCTCAGAGTGACAAGCACTCTCGGCACGATAGTAAAGCCAGCAAGAAGGGCTCCGCCAAAGCTAGCAAGAGGCACTCAGACTCCGAATCTAGTAGATCCCCTTCCCCTGAAGTTAGCAAGGAAAAGAAATCTAAGAAATCAAAACGTAGTCGCTCAAGGTCGACGGAAAAATCTCACAAGTCTGGTAAGAAGGCAAGCCGCAAACACAAGTCTAAGTCACGATCAAGGTAGTATTCGTTTTTTTTTCTCCTTTTTTCCTATTGTATGTTCTCATTGTATGTCTCATTGTGATTTCTCTGGATTCCTTTTAATCAATATATTTTCAATAACTAAAGGAAAATTGTTGCCTGAATATTTTGAGAAATTGTCAACTTCAGTCACATCTGCTTAACTGTGTAAAGTCAAGTGATGCAATAAAGAGTTTTAGTGCCTAATGATGGTTTTATCTATCAAATGCAATTTTGCCACTCATGAATTTCTAGCCAGTTTCCTTAAGTGTCCTTATTGCCCTCTGTTGCCTTAGTAGAGTTTTTAGCACCTTGTTAAAATGTGAAACTGTCTCCTGCCCAGAGTAGAGGGCGAAAATTAAATAAGGCATAGTAATGTCCAGGTCAACCAAACAAACGCATTTCTAGCTTTGTACAATGCTGCACAGGCTAGATGTGCTTCTCTTGAGTCTGCAGAACATAAGTTTTTATGGAGGTTATGTACAGTATTTTATACTCTGGCAGTATGTCTGGTGGGAGGGGGTGTTTGTGCATGTTTGTATTGTATAGTCTGCGTGGGTAAGTGTATTTGAAGCAGTATTAATGTGGTGTTCACACGTCTCTTACAGGTCAGCGTCCCCCTCCCGTCGTAGCAGACGCTGAGGAGCACAGTTAACCTCCTGATCTGTGCACTTTACCATTTTAAATTCCATGAGTTGAACAGGCTTGTCTCATTATAGAGGCAGTTGTGTAGGTGAACCCCCTCATACATTTCTTTCATCTTTGTAAATATGTTGTTATTTTTAAAGTGTGACTGAAGAACAAGACATTTTGAATGGTAGGAGTTTTCACTTGTATTATTATGCAAAACTTAATAAGATTCGGTGGACACTAAAAACTCAAGTTGTATCATTTTAAACCATAACAGGATTAACTTTTTTTTCCCAACTATTATTGTAAAATGTCCAATAAAACAGTTTGTTCCTTATTTTGCCTCACTGTCTTTGATCTTAATGTCTCAGCTAATAGGAAACTTAACATGTCTTCATGAGGATTCATAATAATACATTTGTAAATCAACACAAGATCACAGGACAGAGACCTGCTACTGCAGCGTGTCCTCATAATGGTTCATACTTGTAGTGATGGACTAGATGATTCAGAACATAACAAGCTAGAGCTTGCATGAAAATGTCATCCTACTCATATCAGTGCTGCTGAAAGTTTTACTGGTATATTTGTTCACTTTGGTTAGTCAGTTTCCCATTAGAAAATTCAGTCCTTCTCTAGACAGACCATAATCATACAAACCTAATAAAGGTTACATGAACCTAAATAAACCTGAATTTCCCTATCTATCTATCTATCTATCTATCTATCTATCTATCTATCTATCTATCTATCTATCTATCTATCTATCTATCTATCTATCTATCTATCTATCTGTCCATCCACCCATCCAATCATCCGCTGTCCAAACAGCACAAAGCTTCAGTAACTTCTTACATATAACCTGTAGTTACTGAATCGGCAATGACTACTTGAGGATGACATTATCCCTCTATCACAGAACCCTAACATTAAAATATTTTTTGAATTAATTACACTGTAAAATAGCTGTATATTTAGTTTTCTCTAGTATTATAGTGATTTGCAATGTCGTTCTTGTAGTAACAACTAGGAACTAAACAGTTTCTCGTTTCCGCCCGAGCAGAAAAGGTGGGAGCACTTAAGGTCCCACGGACGTTACGTAGTGCATTGTACAAATTCTCAGTATCTAGCTGCAAAACGTTGTGACATGTACTCAAATAAGTTTAGCCGTCTCGTGTTAGGACTTTACGGCCGTAAACGGAGCTCTGTTTGCGGGGCGGTACAGAGCGCTGCCGGCCGGAGCGGATTCAGCTGGACGGCGGTGTGTAAACAGCGGTCACTGAGGCTGCAGAGGAGCAGCTGTCCGGAGGTGCAGCATCACGCCCTGTCCTCTCAAATCAGGTACTACAGTAAGGGGTTTGGGATGACAGCAGTGCCACTTCGTTAACGCTGACCTTGTTGCTTGCTTGACCAACACTGATAAAAGACTCCGCTTGATTTTGACTTGGTATTCATGCCTTGGACTGGAAACATGACTCGAATGGACTTGACTTTTTTTTATTGAATATTTGCATTTTTCTAGATACTGAGAAGTTACATTGTGTTTTTGAAACATGGTTGGGTGATTTCCCGTGCTGTGCCCACAAACCTGGCAACCTACTTGGACGCTGCAGACCAGCAAAGGTCAATGCACAAGGCAGCTATCATGAGGAGGGGCTAAAAATAGTGTAGTATAATTTGGATTACAGAAGGAAAGAATTATAGCACAATGCAGGTTCCACATAGAGATGTGTTGTAATAGTAATAACTAGACTGACACTCAGCAGAGTGCATACCTATGCCAAGACCAAACAATCCTACTCATTAAAGAAAATGATAAAAAAAAAATTCCTGGATCTGCCCCTTAAACCACTTCTGTACCGAAATGTAATGGGTTCTTCTCCGACCCATGTCCCATCCCTCCACCAGATGAATATCTGATAAATATATATGGTGAAAGTCAGTTCAGTACATTTGGGTAATCCTGCTGAAAAATTAACAGACATAGATGAAAACCTACATTTGTGTTCATTACCACTAAATGTCAAATATCAGTAAGATTTATATGGTGTAAGCAGCTGCACCAGTTTTTGTTAATGTTGAAAATAAAACTAAACTTTTCATGACCATCGTCTTTTAGCAGATTCAAATGTGGAAACTGGGGCTGGTGATCAGAATTTCGTATAACTTGACTTGTGATTTGCTGGACTTTAAGCAGGAACTTGCTTCATTCTCACCACTGTAACTTGAGACTAGCACGTGTGACTTACTCCCACCATTTGCCAATTTCCTATAAAAGTGCAGTGTAAATGTTATTTTTGTAAGAATGTTAGAGTGTGTTATTAATACCTCATTGCTTGGTCAGTAGCTGGAGGATACGAGTTTGGCTGCAACAACTGACTTTCTCACTTGATCTGGGATCTCAATGATTATTTAGAGAAAAGTCTATAACATGTCAGAATAGATACATTCACAATACAATACACAACAGTATTACTAGATTTTATATCTAGAAAAACAGCAAATGCTCACATTGGAGATGCTGGAACCAGCAACAGTTTGGCTTATTGGCCTTGAGTTTAGATCACTTTTAATTTCACACACTAATTGATCAATCCACCAGTCATTTTAGCACCAACTTGAAGATGTTTTAGCATGATATTAGATATAACAATGACCCCAGAATATTTTTCGCATCATTATTGAGTTGTGTTTATTTGTCCCTGTCTGTTTTTTATTTGCAGTACTAGGTCAGCCTCCCAAACCACAGTGGACCCGGATGAGGTGAGAAGATTCCAATCACTGGCCAGCAAGTGGTGGGATGAACAGGGAGAATTTGCAGCTCTTCATGCTATGAATGACCTGAGGGTGCCTTTTATACGGTGTGTGTCTGTACAAAACGTATGTTTCAATATTTATCATATATTTGTAATGCAAAGATACCAAAGTGCCAGAGTCACTGTCAACACATGGGATGGGCAGAGGAATTTGTGTCAAAAATATAACCTGAAGCAGATCCAGCCTTGTGGTATTTGAGAGCAAAGAACACATCAGGGAAAGACTGAAGCAACAGAGACTTAAAGTGACAGGATTCCCTCACACATCAGCACATTTTCAGCCACCCCTACTCTACATATAGGAATGTTTTGGGGGCTGGATGCGGCTGTTTTGATTGATAAGATCTGCTGTTGGGGCCACAGATGATAATCATTACATTATCCATCCAGCCAAGAGCCAATTGAAGGTCTCCCCTTCCCCCTCCATGGTCCTGTTGGTGGTGATGGTGATGGGTGTTTATGCTGACAGTGTGACAGATCCAGTGCCAGTGTACATCTGAGTGTGGCTGATTTTCCCTGATCCGGCTGTGCCCTCAGGGTGTGTCTAAATGAGAGGCAGCAGCACCACTGCTACAGTTGCTGCTCTACCTTTAGACTCTAACAGTCTTACTGTGATACAGCTGATGCTGCTGTGCTACTCTGTTTCCCCCTTTTGTTTTAATGGTCCACGAGGTCTGTTTAAATGTGCACTTGACTTCATTGATATTGAAACATATTAGAGAGACTTTTGATTTTTCCAAACACTGCTTTCTGTTAATGGTTATAGATACAAACATCTTCATATTACAGTATTTTGCAACAGAGTTTCAGTTTGTGTGTATATTCTTAGCTGAATTTGAATCATTTTTGCATTTTAAAAGAAAAAGGTCATTATCAGTGACTAATATGAATAATATTTAATGGCCCTTTTCTCTCAGATTATTCACAGATTATTAATGGGGGAAAAATGTGCAGAAATCGGTATTTTAAATAATGTAGAGTAAGAATAACTTTAATTTCATTTAGTGAATATGCTGAATCACAGTAAATATAGTAAATAAAGTCTAGAGTCCAACCTTAAATACTTCAGTCACTTGTAAATGTAATACAAGTTTTAAACCATGATTCTTAGGTTAATATGATTTCAAATGAAAAACAATGACATGGTGAAATCACAAAAAAGATCTTTTTTTCTTTTTCTTTTTTTAACTACAGTTAAACAAGTAGAAATATTTTTATCGTTAGCATAACAGTCTGTCAGGCTATTAATGGTTTATCATGCAGGGATAGCTTGACATTCCACTCAGACTTTGGCTAAGTAGCTGTTGTCGTTGTGTGTTGTGGTGATGTGAGGGGCTAGTTTGGTGGATGTCTGCCAGCATCTAATCTTCTCTCCTGCACTGTTTGCACGAATGCTCTTGTACCCCGGCAGAGCTTTAATGAGGATGATGCATTCCCAGATCTTGGCCTGTTCTGCATGTTTCCTGCCTGAGGCAAACAGCCGTTAGAGAGTGTGTGAGGGGAGGAAGGAAGGTAGGGAGGAGGGAGCACGGGAGCAAGGTAGGGTTGAATCTGTAGCCTGAGGATAATTTGTGCTTGTCAGCTGGCTGACACGGTAGCTCACGGCCTAATGGGGGTGGTTGTGACAGAGGTGCAAGCAAAATGTAGCATCTCCAGCCTCCCATGCACCGCCGTGTGCTAAGCAGCGTTATGCAGCCTGTGGATGTTTAAGAATACAAGCGTCTTCCCTCAGTCCTTGTCACTTCAGATTAGACTATCTGTGACTGGAACATGATGGCTGTCTGTTGGACAGCAAGAGGAAGACAAGAGGACTAAGAGATTTTTTAATTTTAAATTTTGACTGCTCCTTTACCTGTACAGGGATAATCTGCTGAATGTGCACAGAGCGCGGCATCCTGGGAAACCACTGGCAGGACTCAGAATACTGGATGTCGGCTGTGGAGGAGGCCTGCTCACAGAGGTAAAGTGTGTGTGTGCTCACAGAGGCGTGTGTGTGTGTGTGTGTGTGTGTGTGTGTGTGTGTGTGTGTGTGTGTGTGTGTGTGTGTGTGTGTGTGTTTCATAAGAAAGATGCAGACCCAGTGAAAACAACAAAGACGTGTGGACAAAAATATCTCTTCCCCTACACATTCTGTCTAGTCGCAGTTGATTCGATTGCTACCTTTCATGTCACAGCAGTCTGCTGCAGTATGAGATTCTGCTTTCAGTGCATTATAGTGCCAGTCTGTTCACATACCAGTACCCAAAAAACATTTAAACGTCAGCCCAGCTCTCGTTCTCCTTTGATTTGACTGGTCGCAGTGTGGTGGATCGGACAGTCGGTCGTTTACAGTTGTTTATCTGTTTGTTAGTGTCGATAGCTGCGCAGCGACGACACAGTTCCTGTCTCTGCCTTCATTTGAACTGAGGACATACCAGCTGCGTTGTGTGATTTGGGAAGACAAAATCAGGTCCTATATTTTTTATGGCTCTGTCACCCAGACTGTCATATTCAGACACATACACACACGGACACAAAAAAAGTGTCTGTTAAGATTTAAACAGTGGTTGTGTCTCTGGGTGTCTTGTCACTATAAGTCGTCCCATCAGAAGGGATCAGCTGTGGGAGGATGGAGATCGGCCCCTGGGCAATCAAGTGCAGCTCTCAACATAGGCATGTGTCTCATACAGTGTCCAGAAGAGGGCACTGTAGTTCACATCCAACCACTTCTCGTGTTCATTGTGTCTTATCATGTTGTTCATTGAATAAAGGCGCATAAAGCTGTAGAGTTCTGTGAAAACGCAATCATTTAGCTGTGTTGGAGAAAGCCACTGTACTGGGGTGAACCTACACCAACTGTTCCTAGTTGTTCCAAGGTCTCGGCTGGTGACTAAAGGTGACCGGGTCTTTAATGTCAGAGCCCTCCAACTATGGAGCAGTCTAACATTTGAGATCAGACGGGCTGCATCTTTAGTGTCTTAAAACATTATTTTATTGGAAAGCTTTTATGAATGTGTGATATGTTGTTGCGTTTTATTTTGTTGTGTTTTATTTCCCCACGATATGGACAATCTGTATTTTCATGTAACTGTGAGGATCGTGCGCAAATCCTGAAAATGGGTATTTGTGTATCTGGTGGAAAGTGTTTTATTTTTAAACATGGTCATGTGGTATGGGAATCTGAATTGTAGGGGTGAATTGAAATTGCCGACAATAGTAAATATAGCCGGTTGAATTGTAGAGAAGCCACAGATGTAACCTAGTGAGAAAAATGAATTACATATGAAGAGCAAAGCTTTCCAGATTGTAAGTGATCCCTCCCTCTGCAGTTGCACTTTGATTTTTACCCTCAGGGAGACACTACAGACTGAGCTGGAGACACTGGGATGTGTACAGCAATTCTTTCTTGCAAAATGTAATCAAGATGCTGAATGCAAACCTAACTCATAATTCATTTTTACTGCATGAATGTTGTTGGCAATTGTCCTGTATTGTTTTTAGTAGTGTGGTAAAGCCAAAGACAATTTTCCAAAATGTGGACAATAAAGTTTCTAACTAACTTGTTGTGTTCTACTGAGGCATTTTAAAACAATATAATAGAGATATAATAGATCCGGTTTCTCCCTCCTCTCTGTCCTCTCCCAGCCCCTCGGTCGCCTGGGGGCTAATGTGTTGGGTATAGATCCAGTAGAGGACAGCATCTGCACCGCCCAGCTGCATGCGTCCTATGACCCGGACCTTCGTGACTGTGTCTCCTACCAGGCCTGCACCTTGGAGGAGCTCTCAGCAGAAGGCGAGGAGGAGCAAGGAGCAGGCCATTTTGACGCTGTTGTGGCATCAGAGGTGGTGGAACATCTGGCCGACCTGGAAACATTCGCCTTCTGCTGCAGCCACGTGGTGAAGGTGTGTCCCGTGGTAGTGTTGTGTGTTTTCCCTCCCAGCTGTCGGCTCATTTCAGATATTTCTGCATCAGTACAGTTACGTGTCTGTACGTTCGTTTGAGCGTGTGCTAATGTGCATATGGTGATTTTTGTTATGTTTGTTGTGTTTGCATCTGTTGTGCATCTCTGGGAATAGGTTAGCATGTGTTTTTATGTGTGTGGTTTGCATTGAACCCTGACAAGCTTGGGTGAAAGCTGTGCATCAATACTGAAGCCAGATGATCATAATCTCATAGGTCAGTGGGCCAGAGTGTTGAGTGGGAAAAAGACAGCCTAATCTTCACTTAATGCCTCTGCATTTGGCTTAGGCACGACTGGACTATCTCTCTCTCTCTCTCTCTCTCTCTCTCTCTCTCTCTCTCTCTCTCTCTCTCTCTCTGGCCCAAATCATTCGTTTCTACTCTTCTTCTCAAAAAAACTGTGCTTTAGAATGAATTCCTTTAATGTTTGGATTCATTTTATAGAAAAAGAGCTGCACTCTTCCTCTTTTACTTTCCAACCTTTCCACTCTCCCCCTCACCCTCCCTTCCTGTTAAAACTGTCAATTGTGATCAAGTTTGAACCTTGAGGTTTGGCAGTGTTACTTTCCTGTCTCGTGCACTTGACTCTATCCACTGAAAGCTTTAAATCCAGTCTATAAATACCCTTGTGACTCAGGTATCAAAACTACAAAGTCTTTCATACTTGACTTGACTTTAACGAAAACTCTCCATTTTCTCTGTGTGCAGCCAGGGGGCTCACTCTTCATCACTACTATTAATAAAACCAACCTGTCATACGCACTGGGTATTGTTGTAGCCGAGCAGTTGCTGCGTATCGTTCCCAGTGGGACGCACGACTGGGAAAAGTTCATCAGCCCAGTGGAGCTGGAGCGCCTCCTGGAGTCCAGTAAGTCCCTCTAATTTCCATACGGGGAAAAGAACAGGCACATGAGAAAACACATTCATTTGTTAATAATAAACAGCAGGAAGTGTTAATAATCAGCACAAGTGTTCAGTTAAAATAAAAATAAAAATCAGACCCGCTCTGAAATTTGTTTCATTCTGAAATTAATATTTTCAGAATACCTGAACTTTTTCTGCAAATGTTCACTTGCATGATGTGTAGTAGTTTTGGGAAGATTACAAATGACAGCAGGAGTAATAAAAAGGTTTGCTCCACACAATTCAAACTCATAGTTGAGATCCTTTTTTTTTCACTTAAGGGAAACAAAATTACCAGTCACTGATTGACACATTAGGAGTGGCAGTTTAATTTTTTATTCATGTATTTAATTTATTGAGTGCACCTGATGAGAATTTTATCATTAATGTGGGATGACTTCATGTCCTGTGCCAACTCTAAATTTCAGTTAAGCTAAATGTAATTGTTTTCTTACATAAGCAACATATTACTTGTCATTATTTTTCCTTATGGACTGTTAAGTAAATGTCAGTCCTTTACATAACTGAACTTGAATTTAGAAACTTCAGAGGCTGAAATCCAGTCATATAACCAGCCACTGCAATCAGCTGCACTGTTACTATGTCATGTTGTTAAAAAGGAAAAGTTTGTGTTGCTGTCATGCCCTCTCTTCTTCGGGCTCTAACGCCTCCAATCTCTTCATTCTCTATCAGATGGTTTCTCAGTGCAGTCTGTACAAGGAATGCTGTACAACCCAGTATCAGGAGCCTGGAGCTGGACAAACAGCACGGCCATCAACTACGCCCTCCACGCTGTCAAACTGAGAGACGATCCCCAGCCGGATCAAGCTGAGGAAAGCAGCCCCCACCCAGAGGACCACACTGCAGCTACTCACAGCTGAGCCACAAGACTGGAGAACAAATCAGAAAATGAGAGAAAAAAAAAAAAATCAGATGTGTGGAGTTGTAACTTCACAGAGGCCAGAGGCTGGGATGCAGCACGTGACGGCGGTTATTAAAGGAACGGGACAAACAGCCCTGAGATAGAATTAAAGATGTGCTGCAGTTGCTGGTTTGCACTCAGAGTAAAATTGTGTGATGCTTTTAGTTTCCAGTCAGCCTTTGCCTTACTCTGAGCCGGTGTTACAAATGGTTTTATAGAGTTTAATGAGCTGTGCAAGGCAACTGTGCATCTTCTTATTATGTAATTCAGTAGCAGAGCTGTGTAACAATCTATTATAGCAACATCAATCATTTGCAGTGTGTCTACTGTACTGAACCAGCGTGGTGTTTTAGGTTGAATATTTTGTGATTTGCCATATCTTCTATTAAAATTATCTCGAGTGAAGCCTAAGAGTAAAAAAACAGATTTGTTTGGCCCTGGCCCCTATACCAACAAATAGATTTCATGCCAATATGAGCTGCACGCTGAAAACCAATTTTAGATGCTAAAGTCTGGAGAAGTCATGTCCACATGCGAGAGGGGACAGTCACTTCCTCTGAGATTATAATGGGTCTTCTGTGGAAGTATTATATAATACAAATCATGCCCATGGCAGAGAATAAGTCATGCTTGCATGATGTTCTTAGAGACCAATAACCAGGTTGTAAGAGCTGTGCAGAAATCATATTGTTCTGCTAATGCAGATTATAAAATGGACTCTGAGGTTTATGAGAAGGTCCAGAGGTCCCAAAACAAGGAACAATACTTTTTATTTCACTTTGTAAAAATTATTCCAGTGTATAATGTTGATGATAATGATAACCATTGTATTATTATGTAAATAATAAAGGGAGTTGGGTAAACCTTGAGAGCGCCCAGCAAATTTCACAGCTTTCCTGCTACAGCAGTGTCTGCAGCAGACTGTTATTCCCACGTTTGTTTAACTGTCTACAATAACAAACACTGCTGCTGTGATGCGCGCTCCCTGAAGCCGCGGGAGTGCGCACCCAACTTGCAGTAGCCATGGCTGCAGTTGAGACTTTGATTCACGTCACCGTGGGACAGATTGAATGTACATCGCTCGCTCGTCCTGTTTGGCTTCAACTCAGCACCTCTCGTTGAACCGGACAGGTTGCACCTGTTGACGGACACGAGACTGGATTTCATTGGCATCAGGGTCATACAGACGGTGATGTAAGCTGTTGGCTATAGGTTACGAAATCTTCTTTTCTCCAAGTTCTCTCTGTCCATCTCTCGGCATGCCCGACAAACACACTCACAACACACCAGGTGGAATAACTCGTCATGATGAATGTCTTCCTGCACTTCCGAGGTTGCTCCAGAGTAAGTACACTTTCCTATCTGCCTTTGTACCTCCAAGTATTCTGCCCTGTCTACTTTAACTAGTTATTATAAGTTCATTATTAAGGTAGACCTACAATACAGGTGGCAGTGTTTCCTGCCTTCAACGAATTAAGGCAAACGGACAATGAATGCATTAACACACTCATAATTAATTATCAATTATTACTTTTAATTGAACAAAGGCTTATGTGTGGAAATATGATTACATTTTTTACAAAGATCACAAAAAGACATTTTTGTGTTCATGTTATTAGTTACTTGTAGTGATTGAGCCCATAAAGACTAAACAAACCAAGACTACAGACTAAAACAGATCCACTAAAGCAGGGGGTGGAGTCGGTTGTCACTGGACTGTATATGTCAGCTACCACAGACAATTTAATTTCTTACATGAATATTAGATGAATTATGTGTCATGTTGTGTTGCTAGCCAATAGGCTGTGTGTTCATCATGGTTGGCTACTGGTTTCACTGGGATGCGGGGGGCCTCTCAGGGCGGGGTGACTTTTCCACTGGAAGAGACAATAGGCCAGTTGCATCAAGCTGCCAAGCATTAACACATCAATACCGGAAGTTGTCCAAGTTCGTTTAAAAAATAAAACAATGGCATTGGTTTTGTTCAAACCACACCTGCTCCTTATTACCTTGGTCAAATGGCTATTATTAATAATGTGTGAAAGGACAACACACGTTAAAAGAACCTTAACTCAAGGCCTCCAACTCTCAAATTTTCACAACATTTTTCATAACCACTGTTTACGTGCTCCGGAATGAGCTTTCATGCTCAAGTATAACAAACTGTAGAAACCCCTGTGGTAGAAACTAAGAGGGGTTCTCCAAAACTATGTGAAAGTTCCCCTCAAAAATAAAACTGTAATTGCTTACACAATGTACAGGACCAGGAACCAAAACATGGAGACTATTTTGGAAAAGGCTAAATTGTTGCACTTGATCCTGCTGGTTTGAATAAGTAAAGAGCATCTTGAGCTGCAAATAATTGATTAATCATTTGATGCATTTTCCATGCGAAATGCCAAACATTATCCATTTCCAGCCTCTGAAATGTGTTATGATTGGTAACTAATCACATCTGTCTGTCATGATAGTAAACTGAATATCTTTGGAAACATGATTATGTCACTTTTGGCTCAGGGAAATTGTAGTAGGTATTTGCTTTTTTTACTCGGCCTATTTTCTGCTATTTTATAGACAAATAATCTTCAGTTTGCTGTCCTAACATGAGAAGTTAACATTTAGCTATTAAAAGCAGGGGTATATGTTACTGCATATGTGACATGCAGCCGGTGCCTCACTAGTTTTCAATAGCTTCACTAGTTCAATAATGAAAGCTTTTAAAATGTAAGTACTGCTTACAGAGCACAGGTCATCAAATGCAACACAATCCAAAAAGATAATCTTATTTTGAAATTAGTAACCGGAAGTACGGTTGTTGTGTTTCTGGCTCTATGACGTTGCTCTCCGAAACCTGCAAAGGAAGGCGAAGTGGGTGCCGAGCATCATTCTGGAGAGGGTGTCGAAATGTTTTCTCCGTCTGCCTTTCTGGAGGAATATTAGCCGCACTGCCGCCATGCCGTAGACAACCCGCCGGGCGGTTTGATGAAGCCTAACGGGGACTGCAGCAGGGAGGAAGCGGGGTGGCTGTAACCGAGGGAGGGAGGATGTACTGGGCTGCTGGCTTCGCCTCTTCCCGGCCGTGTGTGGTTGAACTCGGGCGGAATCACAGCCTGCCCCTCGGGCTGTGCGCCACCGAGCAGCAGCAGTCTTTGTATGGCTATATCATTACCTTCCCTCTACAGGACTACGGAGGCATCATGTCGGTTCTGGGCTCGGACTCCTGGTGGAAGAAGACCCTGTACATCACCGGGGGGGCCCTGCTGGCTGCTGCAGCCTACCTACTGCATGAGCTACTCGCCATCAGGTAGGGATGCACAGCATGGCTGATTTGTTTATCATCAGCAGTTCTTTTTATTTACCCTTCAGATCTGCGGGTCTAATTACCAGTCACACCTGCTGACAGTGACTGACCCGTGTCATTGGAATGGGCTGTGGTAAAACCATGGCTGGATATAGAAGTGCGTCCATGGGATGTAATTTGTCTACAAATCTCGCGGTGGTTGCTGTGGTTTCACTCCCTGTTTTCTTCCTTCCAAGGACGCGACAGTAGGTGGAGAGAAAAAAAATTAATAAATAAAAAAACGAGTCACGCGTCCGCTCGTGTGCCGGCTCCCGTGCCAGCTCCGTCGGCACCTGAGCGTATATAAATCCAGCGCTCTCCGGGCGCTGCAGTGTCACCACGACCTTTGATTAACTCCTCCCTGGGACACACAGCTGCTGCTTAGACATAATGCAAAAACACACCTATATCTGCAGCAGTATTCTCTGGTACAGGGGGATCTGATCAGGCCGTGCGATGTGAAAGTGATTAACTCAGGATCTATTGTTAGTGCAGGCGATGCGCGCCTGTCAATGGGGATTATTTTGGGCCAGGCCAGTGCCGGGGAGTAAGTACATCCTGTAACAGTGGCCTGGTAGTTTGTGCTTTCACTCACCCTCCCCCATGATAATCTGTGTAACCTTGCATTTCGTGCAGAAATGCTGCTGCTGAATCACGTGCAGGCTACTGAGGCTGGACCCGCAGCCTGCCGGCATCATCTGCTCATGCCATGTGATGTGTTGTTGGCACTGGCAGCCGCTCTGCCACAGTGGTCGCCTTTTATTCCCCGTCCCTTCAATGAGAACTCCTTAATGTTTGGAGGGTTCTCTAAGTGGCTCCTCAGGGACATTTCAGCACCACATTTAAATAGACAGAGAATAGGATGCATAAGACACATCAGGCACACTGGTTTCAGCACCATGTGACTGTAGACAGCGACCTGAAACAGTTTCAGCACCACAAGACACAATGGTACACACATACTGTATAGTCTGTGGTACAGCAACAGTAGGGGTTATATCTTTTGAAAACCAGTTCTCCATCATGAGAAAAACAAACAACCACCACTGTAAACAAAAACCTAAACATCCAGTCTACTTCAGCATGTGTCTTGTTGACATAACCTTTTATTTTCTCATTGTACAGGCCCCCACAGACCTAACTGCTCTATGAGTAAAAAATTGTTACATTGGCTATGCATGAACAAAGTACAGTATATTAATTTTGCTCTCCATTAACGTATTCACAGACAAAGTAATGTGCAGTATGTTATACTATAATTATATTTTCTGAAGCAAACTTTTATGTGTCCTTAATTCAAAATCATATTTATAAGCAGTTCTCATAAAAGAGTCATGACTTATCAAACTGATATCACAATATTAATTAGGTTTTTTTGAGCTTTTAAAGAGCGCCAAGCTTCTCCAGGACCCCAAACACAACATTGCAGTTAAAGGAGCAGTTAAAAAGAGCAAAAGAAGCAGCAGTCAAACAGTGTTTTGATGTTTGTGATCTCCAATTCATCTCTGAACTAAAGCCCTTTGCAAAGCTCAGCCTGGAAGATACTTCTTCAATTAGATTTATTACCATTTACCAATTCTACAACACATAGTTCACTAATGATAAGATCTGCATAATGACAAGAGGGTTACCAGTGTGGCTACTTTGTGAATATATTATTCATAAAATAAGCTTGAAAAATGAGATGTTGCCTGACCACTGTACAGTTATATTAAATTATTCAAATTTAAAGAGCATTGGCCAGTGATAACAGAGATGCTAAACAGAGCAGAGAGAGTCTGTCTGTCTGCCTGGACAGTGATGATGCTGATGCTGCTTTGTAAAGTTTACACCTTCCTGTGTGCTGCAGGAATAACATCAGGTTTGACTTTATAGATTCAAATCTATTTCTTCTTAAAACAGCATAAAAAACTTCAGCGGGTCACGTTAAAGTGTTAGAGAAATGGCAATAAATACAAAAATAAAGTTTCCATGGTATGATCAGGAAAACTGTGTAGTTAATTAGAATTTTGGATTTCTTTTTTGTTTTATTTGGTTTTGTGTGTGACCTATTTTATATCCTATTTCTGCTGGTCTGATCTGATCTCAAATGATTTAATGTTTGTTTTTTTGTTTGTCTTTGTTTATTTCAAGGCCTGGTGCTAATAATACAGTGACAGCTCTTAACACAGTTGCTACAGAGACAACGGGACCTCACATCCACTGCAGTCCAGGGACCACAGACAGAGCAAACAACATCTGTACAATAAAGTATAATCGCAGGCATACAGTATGACTGCAGCTATAGAGAGTGATTGGAAATATCCAGCAGTATGTTGGCTTGAAACTGGAGCAGTGTGATGACTCATGTAGTCAATAATTTCAACTCTAACAGAAGCTCTTAATACCACTCAGCTGAGCGGGCATAGTAATACAGGAAATATCAACAATCTTTTCCACATATACACATATACTCATAAATTCTAGCTCAGCTTTTCCCATCCTCTCAAATAGCTAACCTAAAATAGCTTTCTTAGATATAATACCTTGGGTTTCCGGGGTCCTCTTGGTTACCTAAACTTAACTACACATAAACAAGTAAACAAAGGAAATCATTTACATAGATAACATAGTCCAGATTCTCCATCCCAGAGTTGAACCAGGACAACAAAATGTAGGCCGCTACAAGGCTATTGTTTGAAAGTTAATGAAGTGAGGCCACCTGAGTCACTGCAAATTTAAAAAAATGTGTTGGTTGGTGGGTTGTCTTAGAGTGTTGTAGAGCTCAGGGACATGGGGACTGTCACTGCTGCTATAATAAACTACAGGTGTGACCTGCTCCCCACAGGAAGGTTTGTTAGAGCCTGAAACTAAACAGCAGCTCCTGCTTTCTGTTTGGATGCTGAGTTATGTTTGGTATTTATCTCACAGCACTGGAGCTCTGAACTAGACTCGGGACAATTGAACATTTTCATTAAAGGACACCACTGCTGTCTTTGAGGCTTTTATCAGTGGTCCCTTTGCTGTTGTTCCTGCTGGTATCTACACACAGTTGGCAGGGTTAAAGTTATCAAAGCTTTTTTTTTCCCCTCCCTGCAGAATCAGCCATTTGCTGTCAGTCAGTCATTTCTGTAAGGCATCAAACTTGAGTAAGAAAATCCATTATAGTAAATTGGTATGTCACAGATTCCTTTGTTTCCTTATGTCACTGTGTTTGAGTTAAGTGCTTTTGCATTCTGCTTACTGTCAATTAAAAGCAAATATTAATATCTTTTTATATAAGATGTCTTTATTCACCGGGGTAGTGGATAAATTAAAGTTTAGTTTCATACCGTGAAATATCGATTTTAAGATGAAATGTACCAGTAAATGTTGGAAAACTGATTAAATACAAATCATGTTTACCCTCTATAGGCAAACTGATCTGGCGAGATATATAAACTAGACATAGATTATTCCAAACAACACTCTTTATTTACTAAAGACTTTGTTTTCTCTCTGTGTAGGAAGGAGCAGGAGCTGGACTCTAAAGACGCCATCATCCTCCACCAGTTCTCCAGGCCAAAGAATGGTGTGCCCAGCCTCTCACCTTTCTGCCTGAAAATAGAGACGTACCTGCGCATGGTGGATCTGCCCTACCAGGTGATACACAGCACACTCTGCGTCAGTGTGTGTCAAAGCAACAGAGAGAGGCTCTGGTTATCAAACAGCTTGTCTGCTACTGTGACGTCCGTCTTTAAATACCTGCTGGTGAAGCTTGAGTTTCTGTAGGTTGTTGTTTGTAGTTGGCTCTTCAGACCCAGTTCCCAGTTCTTGCAATATTTATTCCCAGCAACACTGCTGCTGCTGCTGCTGCTGCTGCTGCTGCTGCTGCTGCTGATGCTGATGCTGATGCTGATGCTGATGCTGATGCTGGTGCCAGAAATGCAAAACACATTTCTTCCTGAGTGCCAGAGGATTTTTCTTGATGTCGTACCAAATGCTCCAAAGAAGTTTTGGTGATCTTGATCGATTGAAGTACGCAAGCGAGCAAGCAAAACTTTATTTATATAGCACATTTCATTCCAGGTGGAAGCACAATGTGCTCCACGAAGCATGAATTATCAAGGAAGGTGCCAACACAAAAACTATGTGGTTAGTGTAAAGATAAAACATTAAACACTAATTAAAAACCCATAAATGATATATATGAATTAAAAACCATTAAGAAAATGAAATAATTAAGTCCAACAACCGATCAGATCAAAAAGTTATTTGATTAAAAAGTAGGAATAGAATGTGATTAAAAAATAATAAATAATCCGATAAAAATAAGACGTATAAAACCAATAAAAGTAAAATAAAATTGTAAATTAAGACCAGCAAACCAGACGACTGAACTAAAAAGAAATGTTTTCACTTTAGATTTAAAAGATGCTGAGCATAGGAGCACCTCTAATATCATTAGGCAGCATGTTCCAGCAGCTTGGGGCATAATAGCTGAAGGCAGTTTCCCCTGTGTTTGCGGAACCAGACGGCCTGTTCCAAAGTATGCAAATGCCTAGTTTGCTTCAGTGCAGTTCAAATATGTTCACATTATGTTTTTGGGCCATTTCTGGAGAATACAATTTTTGATCTTTCATTATAAATGCCTAGAAAGGTTATTGTTCCAGTCTACAATATTCTTCTTGTGCAACATTTTTACAACACTGATTAGACTGGTCCTAACCTTTTTGGCTAATCCCCCCTCCGAATGTTCACTTGTGACTCTTTGTCACTGGTTGCGCAGGTTTGCAGTTCAATCAAGGAGTCAGTTGTTCTTAGGCACCCGAAGAGGTAAAAGTATCCAGTGATTCACTACAGAAAGCCAAATTAAAAGTTAAGGAAAAACAAACTGTTAAAAAAATCCTTAATGGATTGTGTATGGCACCAAGTTGGGCGACTTGAGAGGAGCAGTAGGAAGAGAGAAAAATCAGCAACAGGAAAACAAATCAGGAGATATACAGAGCGCATTCATATTCTCACATGAAGCTGTGTTCCTCTGCAGAACTACTTTGATGGGAAGCTGTCGCCGCAGGGTAAGATGCCCTGGCTCGAGTACAACCACGAGCAGGCTTCGGGGTCAGAGTTCATCGTGGACTTCTTGGAGGAGAAGCTGGGTGTCAACCTCAACAGGAACCTCACCCCGCAGGAGAGAGCCGTGTCCCGAGCCGTCACCAAAATGGTCGAAGAACACCTCTACTGGTAAGAGGCTCGCACACGGAGTGTATGTGGTGTAGTGTTTTTGTTTCAGCCTCGTTTCAGACACTTGTGATTTTAATGGAAAAATCCAATTATGAAGCCACTTTTACTGTAGATGTTTTAAAGGTAGATTTTCTGTAATTGGATGTAACTGTTATGCCTGAGGGCTGAAATTATACATTTGCTGACTTGAATATGTACATTTGTATTTACATATTCATATTTAAATACACATTTTAATGCCTAAAGCTCAATGTAAAACCATATCAGGAAGCCCCCACAATTATCTAATTGAAAAACTATAATGTCACATTGATTTTAACAGCTAAAAAAAAGAGATGTTGAGTCTCGATCTTTTTGTATAATTTAAGCATTATTTATGCAGCCTTCCAGCCCGGGCTGACTCTATCCTAACCATCACTACGGTTTTATCAGCCACATATCGCTGCAGTGAGTCACTCCGGTACCTTGGGTGAGAAACACGCTGCTGCTAGGAAATCGTATACCACTCCTCCCACGCCCAGAGAGGCTCAGAGTGTTTTCCATTACCTAAAAGCTCAATCTATCATTCACTACCCGCACCCCTCACACACACATACACACATACACACACACACACACACACACACGCACTCACACACTGATCTAACACTGTTTGATCCAGTGTGTTGTGGCCCGTTGTCCTCTTCCCATTCAGAACATTTAAAGGTTTTAACCGTGAGGAAACAGAGTAATTAAACGTGACGTGTGTAACCTCACGGTTTCTTTAGTTGAGAAATGTTGCCGTTGGAAAAAAATGTGTGATGTGAGATTCAATCATTTATGTTGTAAAGAGGGAACTCCGTAACCTGTCTCCAAAGCAGTATAGGTCATTCATGTAACCTACATCCCCCCTTCCTCTCTCTCTCCTTGTATCACCTCCCAGCTCTCTTATCTCTGCTCCTCCTTCCACCCTGTGCCCTGTTTAGACCCACATATAGACCTATTGATTGAATTATTTATGTCAGGGAAGGGCAGTGGCAGACACAGGCCAGCAGCAGCACTGAGATATGGTTAGATCATACAAACACTGTTCTCCACCAGCTTGTCCGACTGATGCTGCTATAAGAATAAGATGACAGGAAACTGAAGAACCGCCAACTGTAGCAAATGTGCTTTATGCTTTATCTAGCATTTCTCTGAGTTTGTTACATATTAGTTGTTAGAGCTGATGGTCAACAAAGACAACATACTCTTTCAAAATGTTATAATTTCTCCTAAAGCTGCACTAATCAACACTTGTGTCATTACTGTAATAGAAGAGATATCGATTGTAATGAAGAACCTAGAGAGAGCATTTTAGCCTTTTTTTTTTTTTGGCCAAAAACTGCTCTCACATCAGTCTTGTTTCTAGCAGCTGCAAGCAGCTGTTTTCAGTGAAAATCTCAGATACACAAACTATATGCTGCATGTCCAGTACCAAACAGCAGACAGACGAGGTTAGCGGTTAGCATTTAGCCAATGAAGAGTCAGACATTTCCCTCAGGAGTCTGTGGAGTGCAAAACAGAACTAAAAGCAGAGTGAATATTGGACTTAGATTCGATCAGAATGACACGAACTGAGTGTAAATAGACAGCTGTTAGCCAACACATTAGCCATAAAGACATTATAAGCTGATAATATGCAGATTCTTGTTCTGCTGCGACCAAGTGGCTAGAAAATCAATTAATACTGATTTAAATTAAAAAATACCAACAACGGCTTTGAAATTCACTGGATTTTTCTGGAAACCTCAGCAGTATTTTAAGCAAAACAGTTTCTACAGAGAACCCTAACCCATAAATGCATTTTTATCCCAAACTATATTCATTTGTCTTTAAATTCTGGGGCTAAGAGAAGTAACACAAATAAAACAATATCCTGTTTTGATTTCACCTTTCAGATGAAGTGAGCTAAAGGTTTTATGCTTCTATAAAGCTCACAGTAACATTTTGTTATCACAGTTTTCTCTCAGGGGTCTGATTCAAAGTCCCCCCCCCCCCCCCCCCCTCCCCCCCCCCCCCCCCCCCCCCCCCCCCCCCCCCCCCCCCAAACCTGGAAACAAAGGACAGTATATCCTCTTGGGATATCAGATACTGTAACAGGAAGTAGTATGTGGTCACAGGACAATCACCACTCCCACATGTAATGTAGGCCAGATGCTTTAATTCAATTTTCATTGAGTCACCAGTCATACAGAGTGATCCAGAAGACTGCAGGCTGGAGACAGAAGCTTCTTTACAGTCACATCACGGCTCATGGGTTTGTCACTACCAGCAGGAAAGTGACATGTGGCTTCCAGGCTTTCAGACGTGCTGAGGGGGAAGCTCAGTCTGTATTTCTAGCGAGGTGGTGTGAGAAAATGCAAGTGTGTAAGGATGTAGCAGCTTAATCTTGTTAGTGTCTGCACACACAATCAGCTTGGCTGCAGAAACATCACAAATCAAAGAGCAGAAACGACACTGAATGTGCCAAATATCAGGAGCGGTTACTCTTTTCATTATGTTTATTAATTAGGGGAATCCAGGCGGAACAATTGTTCTTTATCGGTTTCCTTTATTAAATGTATTGCAGTCACAAAGGAGGAGACGCAGATAAATAGGACCAGAGTTAAAGAGGGATTTTGAGGCTTTGAGTTGGCCTTGTTTGTACGTAAACACCAGCTCTGTCTGTCTGCTGCTGTGAGACAAATCTCTCCTTGACGTCAGGATGGCTCCTGTAGCTGCCCAGGTTTCCTTTTTTCATTTTAACACAAGCTAGAGAGAATGGACGACTCAACAAAGAGACTGAGCAGTGCAGCAATAAGTCGACGTTTTTGTTCACCAGCTTGTAACCCTAATTTGTAATGGAGTTTCTCAGCTGTGTCACCTTTTCTCCTCTAACCTATTTCTGTATGAGAGGCAGCAACAGACTCCAAGCATTTCCCCTCATGTACACAACAACAAGCTGACAGTTTGAGGGGCTGAATATACGACGTGTTCTGGCAGCGAGCTGAGAGCAGTATAGCTGATGGATGGGCAGTGGGACGGAAGTGGTGGTGCACTTTTATTGATGAGGATGAGGTTAATTGTCAATGGACATAAAGCTTTGTTGGTAACAGGACACGGGCTGAACCCCTGATTAAACAGTCTTATTGTTGACACTACTCTACTGTATCCCTGCATGTTCGATTCATGACTTTTTATAGATTTGGAATTGCTGCTATGAGGAATTGTGTGCTGACGTAAAGAAATTGCTTTTCGTATCACACATACGACATTACAGTTTCTCATCCTATTTTCATCTGTATGAAACTCATTTCTTGTCGTTTAAAGACTTTGAGTCAAACGGTCTCGGACAGTACTGTTCAATGTAGATCTGAAGCCTAAGAGCCCAAATTGCAAAGATACAATAAATTTGCATTAAAAGATCCATGATATGAAGAGCCTTGGTGTCAGACCCATTCCTGCTAGAACACAATTAGTTAACCAATGTAACTCTGTGTGTTTTTTTAGGACGATAGCTTACTGTCAGTGGGTGGACAACTTGGAGGAAACCCAGAAGCTTCTCGCGATGAGCGGCCCGCTGAGCGACACACTGAAGTGGCTTCTGAGCCACCTGAACGGCAGCATGGTGCGCAGAGAGATGTACGGCCACGGCATCGGACGCTTCTCCAAGGAGGAGGTCTACGCCCTGATGGAGAAGGACATGAGAACACTGGCCACACTGCTGGGTAGGACCGTTGTTTGTGCGTGTGCTTGGATAAGCAATCATGTAGCCTCCTCTCCAAACCATTAAAATGTAAACAATTAGTGCTAACAGCTACCTCATCAAAACTGTGAGCAGTAACCTACATAGCTACGGGATTACCCAAACTCTGTTACATAATCTGATGAAATAGTTGCTGGATTTTTTAAATTGGGATAATAAAATTACCTGCTTTTATCCCTACAAATCCCTGGCCATTAGTAGAGCGATTTCTATTTCTTTTAGAAAAACACTACAATCTCAGATTTATTCAGAAACTCATTTTCAGCTCAGTTGTGGAGAAATATGAAGTAAATACCAGTGACAGCCTAACGTGCAAGACATTATAATAAAGTACTGCTTCATTATGAGTAATTCACCCTGAATTATTTCAGACAAACTATTTACTTTCCTCAGACAACATGCCAAAGATTCATTCATGTGTGGTTACAGTGTATGCCGGTGAATGCCACTTGAATTTTATCAAGATATAGACAGAATGAATGAAAACACGGAGAGGTCTGGACGTCAGCCGGGAGGATACAGTATCAGAGTGTTCAGATGGAAATAAACAGTTAGATGCTGGAAAGAGAGGTGATTTGCATCGATCTGTTTGTGCCATTTCAACTGACCACCACTAACTGTAAAATGGAAAGTCGTTCCCAGAGTGAATGCACCGGTATTCTGTGTGACCATGTGGCTTCTCTTCTATTGTTCTGCTGCAGGCTTAAGTGCTAGAGGTGTGAATATAAAATGTTTTACTGCCGCTCCTCCAGCTTCAAGGTGAAATTAGTGTATTATGAAGCTCATTCTCGAAAGGTGCAGAGGAGGAAGATATCATTGATTTAGTGTAAATAGTGTTTTAAGGCTTTATCTACTATAGATTTCAGTATTAGGGGTCATGTTACTTTTAAAACATTGTAGTACTCGGACTACCTAATCTAGTAACTATAACAGTGTTTTCAATTCCAATAAAAAGGATTAGATAGCTTATTACTCTATTTCATTATTTTTATTAGCTACCCTGGTGGCTACCAACTACGCTAACATGCTAAATAAGACAGTGAACATGGTAAACATTATACCTGGTAAACATCAGCATGTTAACATTGTCATTATGAGCATGTTGGCATGCTGACGGTAGCATTTAGCTCAAAGAACAGCCTCTCAGAGCCGCTAACATGGCTGTAGACGACTTTAAAAAAAAAAAGAAAATTGGACAGCATCTTATTCACAGCTGTAAAACTACTTGATGTCTCTTCTCTGTTCTGTAGGAGATAAGAAATACTTTATGGGCTCTAAGATGTCAACATTAGATGCTACAGTGTTTGGGCATCTAGCGCAGGCTATGTGGACTCTACCTGGGACACGACTAGAACAACTTATCAAAGGTCAGTGGATCTGTTCAGTATTCAGACGTGAGTGAAGCCGGATATTTCTAATAGATATTTCCAAATCATTTCATGATTACTGTAAATAATATTGCTGTACTTTGAGCTTCATTATGTCTCTATTTTTGTAGTGTATAAGCAGAATTTACATTGTCATGTACAGTTTTCCCTGCTGCTTCTTCACAGTTATATTTCTCTCTTCCTGCCACTGGATGGCAGTAATATTCTACTGCAATGCAGTGTTGCAGACACAGGCTTTGATTGTTGTTTTCACATCTTGCACAGAGCAGGGAACGCTCGAGTCTGTTATCTCTTCAGAGCAAAATCAGAGCATATGATGTCACAGACGAAAGTTCTCTGTTGTCATTTTGATACATAATTTGAATTAAAGAGCTTGTAGGAAAGAGAAGACAAAAAAAAACACCTGTCTCATAATGTATCCCCAGTGTCTTCTCTTTCTCTGCATCAAACTCTCGATGTCAGTTAGCATCTGCTGGTTTTAGCTGTATCTTTAAAAGCTTGTTTGTGTAATCCTGTGTCTGTCTTTACAGGAGAGCTGATCAACCTGGCCATGTTCTGCGAGCGAATGCGGAGGAGGTTCTGGCCCGAGTGGTTTGTGGAGGTGGAGGATCTTTACTACGATGGAGACAGTGAGAGCAGCGGCGGCGTGTCGCCTACAGGCCTCCTGGACTTTGGCCTCTTCTCCAGGACTGACACTCTGGACGACAGCGACGCCAGCAGCCACTCAGCGGGACACACTCACTCACACTCCCCCGACTCCGACCACTCGCTCTTTGACTCGGATGTGGGCACGGGGTCTGACAATGACATTCAGCTTAAGGAGGAGTTAATGCCGGACCTGGAGGTTTGACCTGAGAAAGGCCGTGATTGGCTGACAGATGGAGACTGACCGGAGGCTGGAACAATCAGTTTTGTTTAATAAACCTGGTTGGAAGAGCCTGTCCAGACAACAGCTCTCACAGCTGAAGAGACTATTCCAGCTCCTCCACCTCCAATACTCAACATGTTACAACTCCCTGATGGACAAACTGGGTATTTATATGCAGAGCATACAGACTTAACCTCATAATGCACATGCTACTGTACTGTTTGTCCCCTCCCGTAACATCAGAACGGCCCCTGTGGCAGTTTCTCTTTGCCTTATTTGTCTCGTCCTAAGATGCGGAAGCTGGTGAGAAAGGTTAACGCAAAGGAACCGTCTCATGAAAAGTGCGGCAACGACAGAGGAGTGTTGTAGACACGACAAGTGGCACTTCACTTGCTATGAAATGACGCAACTAATCACCACTCTGCCATGTGTCTTAACGCACAAACCTATTCAGACAGGTGGAGATTGATCGTGTGGCTAAAAGGAACAGCTGCTGTGGCTCAGCCATTAACCCTCTATGTGCTGGAGTGGAAACGCAGTTGATACTGAGTGCCAGTTCACGCCGTAGATTTGTCCTCACGTCATCTCCTCTATCTATGCTACCGTATGTGGGAAGAATCTGTATCAAAAAAATGATATGTCTCCACCAGACCACAAGCCCAGGTCCACTTGTCGGCCGACTGAATATGAGTCAGGAGGAAAGATGAGCAGACTTGTGCCTGTTTCATTTACTGGTCATCATCCTTATTTCTCTCCGTTAATTAATTATTTGTTTGCACCTTGTTATTGGTGAGCTTGGAGCTTTTGGTAATTCACTTCATGATCCTTTAGATCTTATTGAAGAGCTGTAGTTTTTATATTTCACCACTAGATGGAGGCAGCAGTCAGTTTGATATCTCCTTCATTCTGTAACATCAAGGTCATTCCACCCTGAGGACCTGCAGTGGATTTAACACAGCAAATTATTTCTCCCTCACTCCTAAACTTTAGTGTCCTGGTTCCCATTCATAGGTAACCTATCTCTGTGTGTGTGTATGTGTGAATGCATGTATATTTTGCATGCATACTGTGACTGAGCACAGCAACAGATCAGCCTTAGTGCTCAGAGTCAAGGGTGAAAATACTCTGCAACAGCTTTTGTTGGAATATAATTTATTATCAGTGCCACTTGATTATTATTCTTTCTATAAGAACATATGTGTCAAATATATATTTTTTGTTAATCCTTGCTTTTTTATTTCTCTCAAAGAGAAATGTTATTTTGCACTAGTGGAAATTTATTTTCACCTTATTTCAATGGAAACAGTCTGCTGGGCGGAGGTAGACAACAGAATAGGCCAAATGAATGGGAAACATAAGTGTGTGTATCAGTAGTGCAGGACGCTGAGTGTTCTGATCATGATTGTGCTGTGAGGGGACAGTGCTGCTTATGTTGGCTGTGTGTCCGAATGTTACTCTGTGTGAATGTCATCAGTGAAGCAGTTGATGGGAAAAGTCTTCTCAGAGACGCATGATACCAAATCAAACAGGACTGAACATCACTGAGTGAAAAACCCTGAGTAAAAAATGGACCAAAATGTGTCGGGAAGTGTTCACTTTTTTGTCTGTCATGTTAAGCTTGGTGGAAATGCTTGTAATGGCAATACAGTACCTATGATGGCTGTAAAAAAGATTGTGGTGCATATAGAGTAGATGTGACTTAAGTTAAAGGATTCGTTCACCCAAATTACAAAACATATTTTCTCATGTACCTTTAGTGATATTGAGTCATGGAGATAGTTTTATTTTTATTTTTCAAGGTTTTGCCTTCATCCCAATGCAGTAGAGGTGAATGGGATTTCATTTGTGGTGCTCACAGCATTGAATATTGACATTTGGAAAAATTCAAATTCAACATGCAAACATCTCTTGAATGCCTGTTACTCTGGATAATACTCAACATCTTGTCATGAGCTTTCATAGGGAGCATTTCATCAGAAAGGAGTTCAGATGGAGACCGTTTAGAGTAAGGCTGTCATAAAGAAGTACGTGTAAATGATTCAAATGACTTTGAATGCAACACATATAGTCTAATCCCAACCTATCTGGTAACACTTCATTTGCAGTGCCTCCGCTGCCTCACTTGAGTGGCAAGCTGGCACTGTAAGGCAGTTGCTTTTTTTATAAAGGCAGCAAACAGCCATACCTTTATCCATAATCTTTCTATCTATGCTATCAAATCCAAAAATGCTTCCACACATTATTTCCCAGGTGGTTTGGTGTTATCATTATCCATTTGACACAGCTCCCCAGTGTACCTGCTCATATACTGTTATTATTGAGCATGGAAGTTTATTTTTGACTGTGACAGACATTTGAATTTGTTTTGAAAAGTTAGTGATTCAAGCTGAGATATGTGACAGCCCTGGTTCCCACTGAGGTCTTTAGATGATTTAGACTAACAGGGACATTATTTTGGTAAAGGGATGTTTCTGTTGAATTATTTAAAGCTGCTACAATCACAATTTGTACAGTAACAAATGGACCAAATGACGTATGCGTAATGTATCACCAACTCCGCTGTGTTAGCCTTAGCTCTATGAAGCATTTTACCATCTTTTACCTCTTTGTCTTCCTGTTTTGGTTTGCTCTCATCAGCATTGTTTACAGACGTAGCAGGCAGCTGTCTCCATTGAAAAAGCTCTGATAAACCCACCGTTCGCCAAACAGCAGACAGACAAGTTAGCGTCTAGCCGGTGAACGCGGTGGAGCCTTTAGCAGCGAAAGAGCCCCATTTTTCCCTCAGGAGTCGGTAGAGAGCAAAACACTGATAGAAAAAAAAAAAAAAAAGAGCGAACACTGCTGTGATATTCAACAGGTGGATACAAACATGACTTCAGATGCTTGCTAATGTTGCTCACCATATCAACGTCAAAGGTGATAATATGTCAGTGCTGTGTTTACAAAAAAATCAGTTAATGCAGTTTTAAATATTTGCTTTTTTTAATGCTTTGAGTATCACAAACAAAATTGTATTAGCTTCCATTACATTGGGGTGGAGACAGAAATCTTATAATCTCATAAACCCAAAACTGTTTGCATGGTTATGTACCACTTGGAGTGACTGAGAGGAACTTTTTGGAGTGTGGGTGAATAGATCCTTTAAAATGAAAAGCCTAAGTAGGTGGGTTAGTGACGGAAAAACCGGAGTTTGACCCAGGGACTGAGAATCTAGAAACAACCTTTCTTCCATCATGTCGTCCTGTGGTCTGCATCCCGACCTGCCCTGACCTGGGTCGTGTGCTCTTCAGTTGCCTCACCCAGTCTGGGCATCATATACAGTTGGACTGCTTTATTCAAGCCATATTAAAACTAGAAGTCTTGTTATTGGAAACATGTCATAGCATTACTGCTGCGGTAATGTAAATATTGTATGTGTGACAAAGTATACCATACTGTATGTAGAGCTGACTGACTGATCAAACTACCTATGGGTGTGCAGTCATAAAAACTGAGACTGGATGATTTCAATAAAGAATAGCTGTGACAATTTTAAACATCATGTGTCCTGGGTTAATAAAATGGTGTCGATGTCATGACAGCTTTATTGAGCCGCACACTGCATTTTATTGTGCGATATTGTCATATCCCTGACAGTATTTTATGTGTGTGGTTGCGTGTTTGCAATCAGGCTAACAAGTTGCAATCATTCAGGTGCGGAGGGGGGCTGATTAAGACTCTGCCAGCCGCTGGAGGCAAGACAGGAGGAAAGAGGAGAGGAGGAGAGAGCAGAGGAAAAGTTACAAGGAGGTGGGAGATGAAAAAAAAATTCAGGGGGAATGGAGAAAGTTGAGCCGGGGCAAAGAGGAAAGTAACCAGGAGCAAGAAGAGAAGGAGGGATGAGGAGGAGAGCAGGTGGTGGAGAGGAGAGAAGGGGTGAAGAGGCCAGGTCTGAGGAGTGGAGGGGTTGAGGGAAGTCACTGGGGAGGAGGAGAGAGGAAAGGAGCATCAGGAGTTTTTGGAGGAGAGAGATGGAGGGCTTACTGGGCTTCCTAAAAATAACAGTTAATTCCGAACGCTGCAGCCAGGATTTTGACTAATAGAAAAAAAGAGAGAGATCACGTCACCCCGCCGCTTGTGTCACAACTCTGGCTACCCCTATCTTTAGAACTGAAGTCTATTTACTCATCTATGAAGCCTTACATAACCTTCTTATGTACCTGCCATTGGATCTTAGAACAGCAAACTCCCTTGGTAAGAAATTTAAACATATTTTACTTATTTTTATTTTATTTTTTTATTTTAATTTTAGTTTTTGACCTTTCATTTTAATCTTGTCTGTAAAGCACTTTGGGTTGCATCTATCTCTGCATGAAAGGTTTTATACAAGTAAATGAATTATTATGATTCTTTAATTTTAAGAGATAGAGAGAATAAGAGGATGGAGACTGCAGAAGGGAAGGAAAAGGTGTGAAGTCAGAGAGGAGAGGATGAGGCGGCTGGGCTAGGGGCCCGGGGAAGAGAAGCGAGGGCCACGGATCAGGGAACCAGGCTCCCGGGGGGACGGAGCAGGTGCAGGCTGCGAGCGAGGCCTTTGGGCCTGAAGGGGCTGCCAGAGCTTAAAACAATCTGCACTGCTCCTTTTTTAATTTGGCTCTCTGAACAGCCCACCCTCCACACTGACTGTCTCTCGCTCGCTCTCTCTCTTTCTCTATGCTTAACAGATCAGCGATCCACAAAGAGGGGTAAACACACACAGAGCAAAATTAAAATCGGAACTCCCCTGGCACGGCAAAACAAATTAGAGCAAACAAATTACAGAGAGTCAACACACAAACAGTGGAGCATCTGTGGCTCTCTGGACTACTGGAGCCGGTGGCTACCTCCCACACCACCACCTATAGTACACGCTCGCAATAAAGTCAGTGTCAATACCACACACTCAATCATATTCTCCTCAAATCACTGTGACTGTCTGCGTTTAAAACAGTGTTGTTTTGGGCACAGTCTTCTTGTTTTCCTCTTTTGCATGGTTAAAAGCAGCTGCAGGAAGTTTACAAAGAGACCCGACGAATGGTGGATGCATGTTTATGAGCATCAGTGTGTGTCATACACAAATACATGTACAGTATGGCAGCCTTCAATACCAATTAAATCTTTTCTGTTCTGATTCAGTGTAACACGCCTGCTTTCTCTGTTCGTTATTGATGTTATTAATTTGAACATCCACTCTAAAGCCATTGTTCTGGTACCCCACATGTTTTCGTATATTATTATGTATATTATGTAACAGACATTCACAGAGAAGCGACAATTCAGTTTGGTCATAGAAAAGTGTAACATCGATGATGAACATCAGGTTTTGGCTCCAGCGCCAGAGAAGACATCATCTCATTCAGGGGGAAAGAACATAGACGTGTTTAATACTCTGACAAAGGTTTACCTTTGTGACAGCTGAGACTATAAATTGGGTTTTTACAATAGATGTAAACATGCATGCATCTAGCTTTTTTCATGTGATATTTTTGGCATCCTGCACCGTCTTGTCTTCCAGTTGTTGTGTGAAAGTTTCGCTGAAAGCAGAGCTCACATAGCGGATGTCTGTTGTCGAAGAGGCACTAATATACTTTTTTTCTCAGGGATGAGTCACAGTCGACTGGAATGAATTTGGTAAGAAGCTCAACTCTCACTTTTCTGCACCAGAAAAGCTTCTATATAATATAAAATATCTGTCATTAACTTATGTTAAACAAATAATTTGTGTGCTGTATGTTTCCAGCCGCTGTCAAAAGGCAGTTTTTTCACATGTATTTCATCTGTTACTATGTATTTGTGTGTGTTTTTTCTCTTTTTTTCTGTGTGTATGAACTCAGTTGGTCTTGGCTGGCCCTCTCCCTCTGCCCCATGGCCCCTCTGGCCCTCTGGCAGTGGCTCTGGCCTGTCCATCTGCCTCCTACTGTCTGGGTCTGGTGGGACAGGGGCCATGGAAGACCCCCCACACCTCTCTCAAACCTCCTCCCACCAAACACCCTCACTAGCCCCCAGGCCAGCTGCTCAGGCCCCAGAATCTGCACTGCACTGCCAGGTGGGCCCCAGGACATGCAGTTGGACCCCTTAATATACACACACAAACACAGAGGAGTGCACAAGTACACACACACACTCTCACAATACCGACACATATGCTCAGTAAGCCTCTTTACAAATGGAAGCCCTGAAACACACATGGTTACACGGGTGGCCCACATGAAAAACCTTCCTCTCTCTCTCTCACACACACACTCACACACACACACACATCATTCGTGTCTGCCAAACCCTTTAACACGCAGCCTTTGCAGGCTCAGGTGTTTCCCACAGCTCCCTATAATGGTCTGAGTTCACGGGGGTGAGACACCAACAGGTGGCGCTGTTTTCTTTACTAATTACAGCTTTATTTATTCATTGGCATGGTGAAGCTTCCAGATGACTTTGGCTGGCCCGCTCAGTCACAGGATAAAAGCCAGTGTGTGAGTGTGTGTGTATGAGTGTGCGTTTTTCCAGGATGCTTTTATTCTCTCCTGCAGGACACGACCCATTACTTACTTTGTAGTACGTTTATGCTTTTACAATTTTCAGTGTTTTGATGAATTCTTCCTGTGAGTATTTTCTTTACTGGAACAAAATGAATGATATTAGATGAGATGTTGTGTCATTTAAAACTTTGTTTACCACTGCCAACAGTCCCAACAGGATGCTTATGTAGCCCAGGGCCTAATGATGAATTAACAAACTTGCACATAAATAGAGAGAGTCATATCTTTAAGAACACAAAAAGATGTATACAATAGACCATATTCACAGGGCAGCCATTTTCCTGTGACATCAAGCTCAAGGTGAGGAGCTCAAATGCTGTCACTGAGAGGACAATGTTGTACTGCTGTGTTCCAGGTTGCAAGTCATACAAAACATTGAGACTCTGACAAACAGAAAGAGCAATTTAAGTGTTCAAGGCTTCCTACCCTCGGAGGAAAATGGTTACCGTGTAAATATGGTCAATAATACTGTCCCTGCTCTAAGGTCGTATATGGTGTTTCACCAGGATCAGTGCTTGGGCCACTTCTGTTCTGTGTATACATTCTGACACTTGAAAAAAAAATACAACATACATTTTAATGCTATGCCAAACAGTGACAGTCAGTGACCACTCCAAGCTTCTGAAAGTAGAGCACTGCTTGTCTGAAGGTCATCAATGGATGTGTAACAACTTTGATTGGTCAGAGGACTGGATTGCTGGGTTGTTGGTCCATCCAGACATTGATCAATCAATGGAAAACTTACGTTTCCATAAGTCATGGTGGCTCCATAATTTCTCGGAGACTGTCGCAAAATCTGCCTTTTTTCATTTATATAATAATTTAGCCCAGATCCATCCCATTTTTTCCAAGTCAGACACAGAAATCCTTATGCATGCATTTACAACATCCACAACTGATTGCTGTCAGTAGGAAAAGAAAAAAAGCACATTGCAGCAAAGAGCAGTTGCCAGAGTCCTTACAAGATCTCCAAAGTTTGATCATCCAGCACCTTTGCCGATGCAGCATTTTCTGCATTGGCTACTGATAAAAGCCAGCGCTGATTTCAAGATCCTCCCTCTGACTTGCCAGAGTCTAAATGGACTGGCTCCTTTTGAGATCTCCAGTCTTCTCACTCCATACACTCCACCTTTACATTCCCTTGATGCTTGTTAATTGACTGTTCCTAGATTTAATAAAAGGATCTTATGTGGCAGAGCCTTTGCACATCAAGCATTCCCTCTTTACAATAAACTCACACCTCAAATCCAGAAGGCGGGCTCCGTTGAGATTGTA